GAGAATAATGTGACTGAATGTGCCTCGTTATTTATTAAAACATTGATTTGCACTTTGTAAACAATTACTTAAGTGTCCAGTTTCTTTAAATCCCTGTGTTTGGGTTATTTCACTACTTGCTTTTAATGTCTTACCCAGTAAAAAAAGAGACCTTTCAAAACATATAGGTCCCAGAACAAAGGAAGTGTTGGTTGACTATGTCATTTATTAATTTTGTCCAGTATTATGCTAAAGATTTTTTAATGTAACATAAATTTTTAGTATAGCTAAAGTGTTCTTACCCTACTTTAGTTTTTGTCTGTTTGTTGGCTGGTTTTTGTATTAGTTGGTATTTCCCATAGATATAACCAGAGGGCAGACTGAGGAGGTGCAATGAGAAGGGTTTTGTGAACATGTATTTTTTGTACCATCTTTCCCAGAGATTTACTACTACATTTTTTAAAAAATAATAAATTATCTACAAAGATGCTTAAGACATATCTTTAAGATGGAAAAGCAGAATGAAAAGGTCAAATAGAAATGGTCCAATGTTTTAAAAAATGTGTGTGTGTGTGTGTGTGTATATATACATACACACACACATACAGAAAAGTCACTAGAGGGGAAAATACCAATATTTTAATAGTGGTTATCTCTAAGAGACAAGATAAAGAGTGACTTTTGTTCTTTCACTCATGCTTGTCTCTATTTTCCAAAGATTCAGGAAATGATATTTATTAATTTTAGACCATGAACTTTGTTTTAAGACAAGGTGACATCAAGTATTTTTTAAAAGAAGCATCTTCCTGATGGTGTTTGCATTTCAGCCCCTGGACTAATTATGCTCTTATGCTGCTTTCGTATTTAATTATGATATACGTCATATGCCACAGAACAGAACAGACTGGGACAGATGTATATGGCAAGGAATAGAAAATGTAAACTATATTTTTAAAAGATCTTTCATGTAAATATGTGTTCTTGTATCTATGCTCCTCTGAAAGACAAAATATTAGCCCAGACCAAAGCACTGAAGGCAGGAGAAACTAGCCCGTACTACAATCTGGAAGGTGGGATGTCTGAGCAATTGAAGCCACTAGAAGACTTCTGCACAAAGTTCTTCGTGGGGACAGAGGTAAACAGGAATCCCCTGCTTTTAAAATCAATACCTAATTACACCAAAATATGAGATTATAGTCCTGTTTTATGTGTTTCCTGTACTAAGACTTATGGTGTTCAAATATTTTCCATGTTTTCTTGTGCTTATTTGCATTTGAGACTTTTAACCTTGTTGCCTCATAGATTCACAAATCTGAAAAAAAAAAAACCTCTATAAAACTAGGGACACTTTTTACTAATAATTTATTGATCAACCTGCAAGTATTCACTGAATACTTCACTGTATGGGGAAAAAAACATGCTAAGTATTAGAGATTTACTAAGAAAATACCACTTTCTTACTCTAACACAAGCTAGTGGGAAAGACTGTTAAAAAATTAATTCAGAAGATAAATAACCATTGAGTATAATAATGATAATGAATGCCATTTTCAGCACCTACCGTAATAACCAAAGCAAAACCACATTTATCAAACATTGTTATGTATCAGGATCTGTGCCAGGTGACCTTCCAAAGTATGACTCATTTAATCCCCAGAATAAAGGCCAATATTATTAGTCCCATTTTACAGATGAAAAAGTGAGGCTCAGAACTTTGTCTACAGTCAGGTGGAGATGCTCCTTTCACTCCCAGACCAACACACCAGGGGAAGATGCCACAGCTCCATCTTAACAGAATGCAGTTTGCCTTCACAAGCTGGTACTCCAAGATGAATCCCCAGTCACGAGCTCTGGGGAGCATGGCACCTGCCAGGAGCAGTGCTCAACACTGGCCAGAGATAAAGTGTGCCCTACAGTCCCTGTCCTCAAGGCACTTTCTGCCTAGTTAAGGAGCAGACACATTGACAGTGTGACAGAGGTCAACACCAGTCCAGAAACTGCCAAAACAGGAAGCAGGAGGGTTGAGGGGACATAAGCAGTTGAGAAGAAACCAAAAGGCTCAGGGTGAGAATATGGTTCCAAGCAGGAGTCATAGCCTGAGTAATATTTGGGAGTCATAAAAGTCTGGGATTTGTCAGCAGGTGGTGGCACAGAATGGTGCAGGAGGGAGAGCTATGCCTGGCACGGGGAACTGGAGTCCAATACCTGAGATGGCCTTTGGAATTCCGTTTAGTAAGCAAGTGGGACACTACCAATAGACGTATGTTTTATAACTTGCATGTCACATCAAGGTTTTTTAAAAAAATTGTTTCAAATTATGGCAAAATATACATAACAAAATTGTCCATCATGACCATTGCAAGTGTACCATTCAGTGGTATTAAATCCGCTCTTACTGTCACCATCCATCTCTGGAACTTTTCATCATCTCAAACCGGAACTCTGCACCCACTCAACAATAACTCCTCATTTTTCACGTTTCTGCAGCTCCTGGCAACCACCACTGAACTCATCCTTCACTTTGCATGAATCAAATGTGTTCTCATCTCCCCTCCCTGGCCTATACATCCGACTCTATCCCCTCCTCCTCCAATCTATCCCATCTCCTCTTTTTAAATACCCTCAGTCAGCTGGGTCAGTGTGGCGATTAGAATTAGGAGTCTACATCTGGGTGACCTTGACTAAGTCATTGAACTTCTCTGTTTCCATTTTCTCATGTAAAAGATGACAGTGGGGGCTACTGCCTCTCCACCTCTGTCATTCATTGGCCCTGTACGCTTCCCTCTCATGTGGCTCTTTCTTTTTTTTACACTGGGTCCTTCTGCCTTCCCTTCTTAAAATGGTCATAAGGTACTAACAGAATACATACTACTTGTTGTTTTATTTGGACTGAACTTAATGTTTCCTGTTCTCAACTTTAAAAGGTAATTGAAAGGTAATTTTTCTTTTAGTCCATGAGTCGTTATTAAGTACTTTGTTACATGTTAAGAACAGATCACTGAATGAGTTGAAACTGATCATGGTTCAGCAAAAACTTTGGAACCCCAGAAGTCAGGCTTCTTTGTACATAGCACATTTCCATAGCCACCATGTTCTCTATGTCACTGTATGTATATAAATACCAACTCATTTTTTGTAAAACCAAGTACAGTCATGATTTCGATACCCTCTCATAATGTGATTATCTAATTATCATTTGATGACATTGAACTGTGGACTCATATTTGTCTTGGTTGCAGTTAGTCTGAGCACATGAATTTGAGGGTTTGTCTCCGAAGTTGTCATTGTATTCATCAGAAACCTGTAATATTTTTAGGAAGGTGAAGTGATATATACAGATTGGAAATTAGAAAGAGATCCTGACACTGGACGATTTATGAGTAAGTTTTGATGAGTAAGTTTTGTGGATTGCTCTGTTATTTATAAGATCTTCTTTTTAATTTAAACCATCCAAAGAAATATTGTGAAGTCCTGAGAGGCCTGGTCCTTGTCCTGCTCGTGGAAGGGAGAGCACCCGTTCTAATACATGTGTTACTTAAAATGAGGGCCTCTACTAAGTGGCATATTTGTCACCACAGAGCTTACTAGAAGAATATATAAAAATCTTGGATCCTACCCTGGGACCTATTGAACCTAAATCCAGGTTTTAATAAGATTTTCTAGGTGATTTATTTTTACCCCCAAATTTGACTTATATGATGCTTACATCACTGAGACACTTGAACAACTTAATTAAACAGTAACCCCAAACTCCTGCTCCCGTGATTTGGGCAGCTAAGCAAAGGTGCATGGGTCACACCCAGGAGAACAGGCACACCAATAAGCAAAGCTCCCTGTCTTTGATAGGCTCAGAGTCTTGGGATTCACTACAATTACAGCTGCTTACTTTAGACCTTTAAATTTTATCCCACCATGACAATGTAATTGTACTACATTTTCAAGTTTGAAATAACCATAAGCAAAGGAAGAGTTGGCTCTTGGAACTGCTAGCAGATAAAGGCTCTGGAAGGCTTCAGAGTACCATGTAGGAGCAGCACCCTGTGGAACAGTGGCTCAGTTTGCGGAGGAAATCTGGTCAGTTCTGTGGGTGTTTGGAAGAGTGGCAAGTGAATGACCCACAGAGGTCAGAGGTCAAAGCCACATCCTGCACGGGGCAGCTGTTGGGGCTGGCATCTTTACCTCAAACCTTCCCCCCCAGTCAGTCCTACTGATCTGGTTCCAGAGACCAGAGTCTGCCATCGACCTGGGAAGGCTTTCATTGTCACATGCCAACAGTGAAACAAAAGCTTTTAATCTTGAAGCAAAAGCACTTATATTTTCCTTCTATGGTATCCCCTGTCCAAAAACTCAAATATGTGTTGTTGACAATAGTGGGGCATCAAGAGAGGATCAGATGTGACCCAAAGGAGGATCAAGTTACACAGAACTGATTTTTTTGCTTTCCATTTATTCCTAATTCTATAACTTAAAATTGAACTCAAAATTAGATATTGGATATAATGAATTATATTCAACTTCTTTTATGCTTCTTCATGTAATTTATTTATTCAATAATTCATGAATATTAATCGTGCATGTACTATATGCCAGTCGCTGTGTAACACGGCAGTGGTTGTCACCACACTATTGAGACACTGGCTGAGGACGAGATGCCATGACTTGGTTGTGGACATGTAGGCACCAGTTTCTTCTGGTCTCAGAGATTCTCTTGAGGCTCCATCTCCTCCTAACAGTCAACTTCCTAAACTGCCTTTTGGAAGACCCATCTCAAACAGGTTTATTCATCTATTTTAAATGGATTTTTATTTTACTAGTAAAATAACAAATATCAGTAAAGTTAAAATGCAAGAGCTTTATGTTTGAAACATACTGTTATTGGCTTGTTCTTTCCCTCAATAATCCACTTATCAGGTGATTATTGAGAACCTGTTGTGTGCCAGGCACTGGAGAGATCAAGATGACCAGGATATTATTCCACCTCAATAGATTTTCATGATCTATTGAAAAAATTCGACAAAACAAGTCAGACATCCCACAGCCATTTGATCTATGGTCATAAGAAAATGCAAAGTGATGTGGGAGCCCAAGGAAGAACTGACTCAATATGGGGCTATTAAGAAAAGGTCCCACTGAAGAGAGACACAGTGGAGCTAGGTCTTGGAAAATAGATCAGAAGTTTCCATTTGGATCAGATGAGGAAAGACTCTAGGTACAGAAAAATATATATCAAGGGCAAAAACACAAAAACCCTGAAGAGCAATGGATAGTTAGGAAAAAGGAAGAGTTCATGGCCAAAGCACAGCAATAGAGAAGGCAACAGGGGAGATGTTAGGGAGGACACTTGGTCCAGGTGGCAAAGACCCTTGAGCTCCCTCCTAAGAGCTTTGGACATTATCCCAGAGCCATGCATATAATCAGAAAATCTCCTGGAAGGAGAGCAAAGATGGGTTGGTTTGTTGATAATACTCATAACGAAAACAGGATACTCAGTTGCAACAGCCCCAGTGAGAGACAGTACTGAAGTCCAAGCATGGTTACAGGGGAGAGAGAGACGCAGGGGTCGACATGCCAGGACTCTGTGGCCAATGGAATGTGGGTAGTCAGGACTAGAGGAGTTGTTTTAATTTCTTGCATTTAGTTCATTTTAAAAATGGGAATAGCTTTAACTGCTAAAAGATTACGGTTAATACTTTAAATCATCAGTCAACTATTTTATAGCATGGAAAGCTGAAAAAAAAACCCATTATTCTCATTGAATAATGTTTGAAGTCCAAGGAAAGTCAATGTGTAGACGCTCTGCACTGTAAATTATGTGCCCTATTTGCCTTGTGTGAACTGGAGGGATGTCTCTTGGCACCTCCCATCCCAGTGTATTTCTTAAACAGCGTGGAGTTTTCTGAGTAAAGGTTAGGCACCTACTGTGGCCTGATGCTCTGGGCTCTGCTTATCTCAAATATATAACCAGGCAGGAAGGAGAATTTCTTCTTCTTAGGAGATGTTCCTGGAAGTCAGATTATACCCACTGAGATGTGTGTGATAAAGAAGACTGAACCAAACATTTCCAGATGATCTAAGTGACAAGCCAAGAAATGCAGATTCCGAATGGTGACAGCTGACGTGTTATTTCCTTTAGTCTGCTCTCAAGTTGTCAAATCAGCACATGCCATGTGCCAGGCACTCTTCCAAGCACTTTCTATGAGTTAACTCATGTAATTCACCTCATAGCAGCCCCATGGGTAGCTGCCATAGGTGGCAGTGCTGGCATTGATGCCAGCATTTGGTCACATATGCCACCAGTCAATGTTCTTAACCGCATGACCCTACTGAATCCCACAAGAGACAATGACTTAGAAAAACTGCTTTTCTGCTTATTATAATTTTCTTTTAGTGATCTGGCCCAGAGGCCCTGGCACTCCACTTAATAATTTAAGACAGCTTCATTCATTGCTGAATGGCCAACGGGTCTTTCAAAGAACAAAAGGAAGAAAAAGGTTTTATGGGCTGTTATTTTAAAGAACAAACCTGGGCCGGGGGTTTAACTCCTTGGTAGAACCCTTGTCTGGTGTATGAGGCCCTGGGTTTGGTTCCCCAGCACTAAAAAGATAAAATAAAAAAATTTTAAAATCCCCAAACCTTTATTGTTATGGATATTACTGTCACTGCAGTTCCAGACTACAGAAGGGCCTGCTCATCAGGGTAGGGAAGCTTAGTTAACCCTGAAGGCAACACCAGACCCTGAGACACAGGGGCAGCAGCAAGAAGACAGCCACTGGTTTCCAGAGTCTCCTGTCTTAATCTACTAGGTCACTTCAAGGTGGCCTTTAGAAGTATGTCTTCTGTACTGTCTTCAAGGTTGGGCTCTGGGTAGAGGAAAATTGCCCTTTTTTTTTTTTTTTTTTTAATCCAGAAGTGCTATGTTTACATTTTTATTTATTTATTTTTCCTAATAAGTTTTTTTCCAAAAAAATTTAATTGTGGCAATATACACAGAAACTTGCCATCTTAATAATTTTTAAGTGCACAATTCAGTAGTGTTAAGGATATGCACATTGTTCTGTAACCAATCTCAACTCTTTCTTCTTGCAAAACTGAAACTCCACACCATCTAAACACTAACTCCTTATCCCTCTTTTCCCTGGTCCCTGGTGACCACCATTCTGCTTTCTGTCTCTAGGAACTTGTCTACTCTAGGTACTTCATATAAGTGAAACCATAAAGTATTTACTCTTCTGCAACTGACTTATTTCATTTAGCATAATAGCCTTAAGATCTATCTACAATGTAGCATGTATCATAATTCCTTTCTTTTTTAGGACTGAATAATATTCCACTGTCAGTTTACATCACATTTTATTTATCCATTCCACCATCAATGAACACTTGGGTTGCTTCTACCTTTTGGCTATTGCAAATAATGCTGCTATTAATGTGCATAGAAAAACCCTTCTTCATAAGGTCTTCTAAGATGTAGTAGATCTTTTTATACTTCATGTTCCATCAGTGTTCGTGGACAGGGGAAGAACAACCCCAGCTCCCACATAACTACTACAGTGAGATTCAGAACAAGATTGTGATTTTGGTTTGGGCTTTGACATGAGGAATGAGGAGCATCGAGCTCTGCAGACAGGCCTGGGAGAGAATAAACCCAAGCAAAACCTTCCTGTGCTCTGGGTGAAGAGTCCAGAAAAGTGGGAAGACTCTGTGGCCTGGGGCAGAGACTAACATCAACTCTGATCTTTCATCCGGAATGTTCCTTCTTTAGTGCCCTCCCAACCTTTTGCAACAAGTGGCAACCTCACAGAGCCAATTACTCTCATCAGAAATGTAGCTTTGGGGGCTGGGAATGTGGCTCAAGCGGTAGCACGCTCACCTGGCATGCATGCGGCCCGGGTTCGAACCTCAGACATACAAACAAAGATGTTCTGTCCACCGAAAACTAAAAAATAAATATTAAAATTCTCTCTCTCTCTAAAGAAAAAAAAAAGAAAGAATTTTAGCTTTTGTTCTCAGCACTTCATCTCTTCACTCTCCTTATTTGAGCGGTCTCCACATCCCAGCTCACGTATATTTCTTGATAATCCACCTTTCTCCACTGCCCCTTAATCCAAGCCACCTCCCTCTCTCACCAGGACTATTGCAGCAGCCTCCCCTCTTGTCCCCTCTTCACCTCTACCTGCCTCTAATCCATTCCCCCACAACAACCAGAGGCCCTTTAGAACCGCCAATCAATTTGTCTACCTTCTAGGACTCATTAATACATACTACCCTTAGACTAGATTCTAAACTGTCCTGCAAGGCCCTGCGTCTTATGGACCTTTCCTGGTTCACATTATGATTACCAGACCCTGGTGCTGATTTCCTCAGGAAAGGTACAAAGGTATCAAACACTTTCCTCCTCAGGACTTTGGTGTGTGCTATTCCCTCTTCCTAGAATCTTCCTCCACATCAGTGTCTTCCAGTGTCCATGACTAATCGTCAGAGAAGGCTTTTCTGACCATCATTCTAAATGGCAAATGTTCCTTGTTACTTTCTTGTAATATTTTTTCTTTCATAACAGTCTCTACCATATTTTAATTCTATATGTTAGGATTTATTTACTGAGCATCTGTCTTTCCCGCTAGATTTTAAGCTCCATGAGGGCAGGATCACATTGTTGACTAGCCATTGTTTACCCATGCATCTTGGCACATGTAGGCAATCTACAGATAATATTTATTGACTCCCTGAATGAACTAATGAATGAGTAAATGAATAAGAAGACGAAGTATTCCTCTGAGCCTGAAAAGTGGCCCTGGTGGGAAATTCTCCAGACCTTTTCATAGAATGATGAGGAGCTGTCCCTTATAAATTCATTCACCCCCAAAATGGTCTTTTCCACTCCAACAGCAAAGAAACCAGTGAACATCTACACTGTCCATGATGGAGCTGTCCACACTGTCCAGAGGTCACCTTTTTACAATGACATTGTCCTCACCATTGGTGGGTGGAACGTGGCTATTTGGAAAGAAGGTGTTATGGTAAGTGGCCTGTGAAATGGAAGAGTCGGGGGTGTGGCCCTTTGTTCTTGGGAAAGACAATAGGAACAATGGCCTGTTCTGACATAACTGCCTTTGGGTACTTTTTTAGAAAAATTAGAACAGATGGCCTGCGCCCCAGCTTGTCAGCAGAACCACCTTAAGCCTTTTGAAAGCATCCATTTGCTTTTCTTTCCTGCGGGCAGTAAACAGCAAAGCAAGTCCCTTGTTCTCTGAACCCTTTTCTTGGAAATACACACCACAGGCAGTTGACTTGGCTGGTGTTTTTGCCTCCCTTTAAAATGCAAGATGGGAGGCTAATTCCTGGATGGAGTCCAACAGGGAAACACTGGGTCTATCACCTTCTGCTCCAGCTTTTCTTCTGGAAGCTTCAGAAAGAGGGAATAAGTAGGCTCAGAAGTCCATCACCAGGGAGATAATCGCCTGTCAGAGACATGCATGGGTCACAGGGAGGCAGGAGGAAGAGTCTGGTCAGGATTAGGAAAGGGGCTGGATCCAGGTAGAACATAGATTTCTTGACCCTAATGGTTTCCTCTTTGCAACTCTAACTTACACAAGTAATAGAGAAATGTATCTGAACATTTGTACAAATTTGTCACTGAAAAAAATTGGAAACTACGTAAATAGGCATCAACAAACAACTTCTATTTTATAACAATCTACATCTGAATGTTTACATGTCTTTTTACAATGAGCTAACATTGTAGTTAAAGAAATAAAAAAAGAAAATTCAGGCAAGATAGTTCGTAGACCATGCAGGCCAAGACCCTCATAGAGACTGAAGGAGCTGGGAGACATAGGCAAGAAGAGGTTTGAAGTTTCACCTCTAGAAGTCCAGGAAGCCATGATACCTTCTTTTTCCATGGGAAAGGTTCCTACCTGTGTTTTGGAGGGTATGAGACAGGTGGTTTATCTTAGTCCCTGCAGATGCCCATAGACAACCTGGTTGGTTGATGGACTCTGGCAGTTGGTAGAAGACATATTCCAATCAACTCTGTGAAAAGTTCCCCAAATCAGAAAATTATCCCAAGATAGATAGATAAAAGACATAATCTCAAGATGCATTGGTGGTCTAAAATCTCTTCCAAATACTTTTGTAAGCCATCAGATACTCTCATCTGAAGTTAATTAATTAGAATTTGCCAGCTCAGCTCTTGATTTCCAGCATGTGTCTCACAGCTGGTATTGATAGGCGGGTATTGATAGGACCCTCAATAGCTCAATTGGAAGGTTCAATCTTGTCTAAAAGCAACTAAGACAAGAAAAAAAAATAACCTATGAAAACAAATAATAAAGAAAAGAGCTTTTTTGTATTCCACCCTCACAACAAAAAGACTTTCCAGTGGGATAATTTTGCTGTTAAATGATCATGGCCAGCTGAGTTATACTTTAAGAAAATCATTGCGTTTCTCTCCAGTAATAACAAATGCTTTTAACCTGTCTTTTCAAAATTTTGCTCGGAAGTATGGACCTCTCCTTCAGTCATGCTGTGCACCAAAAAGGTACACGTCGGGACACTGGTCCCTGACAAGGCCTGGAGTTTTCTATATTGGCCGAGAAGATGGATACATCGATGTCTGGGACCTTCTGGAGAAAACCCATGAGCCAGCTCTGTCACAAAATATTTGCATAACTATGATCACCAACATCAAGCCCTGGACTTTTTCCTGTATGTTAATTCTAAATAAGTGAGCTATATCCTTTTGGGTAACTGGGAAACATTTTGACATTCATTTGGAAAGTATCCAGTGTTTTCTCTCAGGTTTTGGTTTATCTTTCCACCCCATTCTCTCTTGTCCTTCCTCATTCTTTCCTTCTTCCATCTTTCTTTTCTTTCCCCTCCTTCCTCATCCTTCCCCTTCTCTCCTGCTCTCAAACCTTGGGTACACCCAGAGCTTCCCATACTGTTTGTCCTCGTTGACAATGATTTCTGATACACATTTACCATGTCAAGCTTGATGGGAAACATCCTTCTTGTCCTCTTGGGGTCAGACAGGATCATCCCTGAAGTTTGGCTACTTTTTGCTGTTTCTTTTCCATATAAAAATATTTTTGTCTCTTTTTTATTATAATTTATATTTTGTGACATTATGTCACTTTTGTGATTTTTCCTGTGGGCCCTATCAAGCAGTTCTCTTCACGAGATCAAATGATTCTCTGGGGTTATATAGCTATTTAAACTTTAATCTTTGGATTAAGGATGAGGAAAATGTAATATGCAGCAAAACAAGCATACACCCAGGACTGTGTCTATGAAAGAGCAAATTTATTTCCTTTTCCCCAATTTTTCTATTTCATTTAAATGGTACTTTCTGGGTAAATCCAGCATATTTGCCTTTTCTAAAAGAAGTTCCCTTTTGTTTCCAAAGGTGTACAGGCAAGAAGTTGTCGATCCATTTCTCTCAGAAACTAATTAGATTCAGAAACTTTTGTCATCAGCATCTGTAGGGTATCACAATCTGGGTACTGCATAGCTATATGTGTCACTAATGTATGTGTCCCAATCTTTGGTACAAAACATTGTTTTTGTACCTGCAGGGATCATGAGTCTAGGATTCAACCATTTGAACTAGATCTTCTGAAAATGAGAAGAAAGTATACTGACGTATATAACGAGATAGAAAATTAAAATTCTCAAACACTTAATGTATTTTGCCCATTTTAAGTGATTCAAGTAAGCAATTCGGTTTTGTAATGAAGACTGTGGTTCTGGCTATGTCTTTGAATTTCAACTGGTATTCTTTTAGCCCTCAGGGTGTTTGGTGAAAATATGCTTCATGGCTTTTCTTTGAAAATCTTTCCCTGTGCCCTCCTTACTTTCTTCTCAACTCTGACAATGAGCCCAGCCACAGAGAAGCCGGCTGTCAGCCATACTCCTCATATGGATGCCAGGAAAGCAAGGTCTGAGGTGACAGGGAGGCCAAGGAAGACTCAGAGTCTTAGCTTTCATTTCATCAACTGGAAAAAATGACTTTTACATGTTTATATGTTTCAGTCATGAACATCTGATGAAGCTGCCAAGATCACTGTAACCACAGCACGTCCCTTGGGGAACCACAAAACAAAACACATTGCCTATTTAGCCTCTGAAGCTGAATTTGCTGAATTTTCTCTCTCTTTTAAATCTTTCAGCTAAGCAACAATTTATAGCCATAGCTGACTATTATGGAACACTGCATATATTAGAAATTCCATGGACATTAAGTCACCCTTCCCTCAATGAGGTTAGTGACTTTTAGTTTTGAAGATTTGTGTGACTAGACATTGCTGAGGCATATCTTAAAAGTGTGTTAAAAATGGCAGCATGTTTGCTTTATGAGAAAACAAAAAAACTAATGCAGTAAAAAAAAAAAAAAGGAGATATATTTCTCTTAATAGGAGTTCACTAGTTTGAAGCTAGAAAAAAAGACCTAACACGAGGTGGGAGAGAAGGCAATTAGATGAAGCCCAGAGTCATAGAAAAATCAGTTTGGGAATTCATAATCATAAATAGTAATGTTTTCAGATTGTAACTAGATTTTAGCCTCCCAATTTCAGTGAAGTTCTTTCCTTAGAACCCAGGTGACATTTTTATGCATCTTTCTGTCCTCCTCTTCCCACCTTAGTATATTGCAGGCCTCATATTTGAACTGACAATATTCTGCACCCCTCCCCCAAACCTGGTACACACTACCCAAGAGTTTAAAGCAATGCTAATAATGAGGTTATAAAAAGAAAATCAATGAATAGAGATGCATAAGTATATACACAACCAACATTAAATGCACGGATTGTAACCCACTGCACATCCCAACAACAACCTGCTTACTGGCAGGTGACACACTTTCCCTCGTCCTACTCAGGTTGCCTTCCTGAGGACTCTGCTGACTTTTCAGCTTCTGTTCTTATTTTCACATATTAAGCCCTTCAGGGGACTAGGAGTTCAGCTCTACATCAGTCCCTTCAGGGTCTCCACTGATATCCTCATCTGAGTTTTCTAAGTTCAGCTGATGACATGAAATATCCTTCAAATCAAGGAAGAAAAAGGGAAAAAATATACCTACTATGCAATAGCAGTTATTTGCAGCCCCCTCCTTCCAACCTACTTCTTTCCCAAAAACCTCCAAGTCACAAGGACCTAAATCTAAGCACAGTTGCTCCCATATTGAGCTAGCTGCTCTGGTAGTAGGCAGGTGGGTACAATTTCCAAATTACATTCACCTCAAGGATTAGAAGCATCCCAAAGTAGATATCTCTCTCACGATTAGGTAGATGGTCACTAGGTCATGTCAGGATGGACTAAGTAGGTTGGTCAGGTAGGTGGCCTGCCTCATTAGAAAAAAGCAGGAATTCTAAGAGTCTGGGACAGAACATAGAGCTTCCCTGTGGGTTACTGTCTCACAAGCCATTGTTTCTAACAGATAGCAAGTGTTAACCACTACTTCGAAAGAGAAGTCAAGCATCTGGAATATGTAGAACAGCGCAAAAATATTCGTGAGCAAGAAAAGAGAGAAATGGAACTAGAAATGGAGAAGAAAAAATTTGTAAGTTAAATTGTAGAAATGAAAGTTGTTTTCCCCCTCACACCCATGGAAATATGTGCATTTGGCTTTTTCCCCCATTTCCACAGCCTTCTCTCATTATGAGAGTCAAGAGGGCTCTTCTTTGATTTGCTGAGCTTCAGTTGTCTCGTGTGGAAGATAGAAATATTAGTAACTACCTTTGATGATGATTACTGTAAGACTTTCAGTTAAATAACCTGACAAATAGTAGACTGTCTTCAAATGAGAGCTACTATAACTATAATGGCAGATGACAGACAAGGAGAGAGTGAATTTTCCTATAATATAATATATTGGGGCTGTGCATGACACTTAAAATAGAGAAGAATTTGGTACAGGACACACCCATCTTTAATTCCACCAAAAAGGAACCTAGAACTCTAAATCAAGCTCTCACCCTCCTCTTTCTCAGCCTTTCTTTGTTTTTTTTATGAATTCTATAATTCTGATCTTCATTTATCCACTGGAATTTGGGTCTTTTCAATAGTCTGTTAATTAAGCTCTTCTCTCCTTTTCCCTTGAGATTTTTACTTCTCTTTGGTTCATTCCATCCCTTGCCCGTTGTCACCAATAATTTTATGTTTGGTCCTAGCAGTAGTCTCCTTATAGCCAAATGCATAGCATCCTTAATTATTTAGGTGAGACCTGAGTTCCCTGTTAAAAGCACCAACATGTGGAAATATCGTAACATACTGCACTAGCCAATAGATTAATAATATCACTTACTGATAGATAACTAATTTGTGCAATAGAAGCAGAGGAACTCATTTCAAAAACATTGCTTACTTTTACAAATTATGCATTAATGCCAATTAACTCTTCATCGAGTTCCACTGCTACCAAAAAAAAAAAAAAAACGGTTTTAGGTTTTTCTTTTTCACACTTAAAAACATTCAATGAAATTATGTGGTGGGATATATCTGCCACCCTTCCCTTACCCAAGTAATTATCCAAATTTTTTATGCGTGTTTATATATCATAGCAACAACTTCAAATTACTGACATCAGTGAAAACAAAGTAGAATTATGGAAACTCCAAAAAATAACTTGCATTTGAAATATTTTTTTAAATGAGTGGATATTACAATAGTCATATCTTAAAATTGTGTTACTTTAAAGTTTCCAGAACCTTTCCAACTACTTCTTGTAACATCATTTCCATTTGACACATTATCTTCTTGTAAGTAGAGCTGCCACTTCTCAAATTTTCTCTGGAACTAGATCATGGATAAGTGAATGGATTTCAAAGGGCTCTTCTGTTACATTTGGATGATGAATAAAGTCACTAAGGAAAAACAATGTTAGTCAGAAATATCCCCTTAGAAAGGGGGGGAATGAGAACAATAGCAATATGAACCTCAGAGGATTGCAGTGGGGATTTAAGTGAATTAAAATATTTCCATATTTCCAGCACTGAGACAGTGATCGGTACCTAGAAAGTGCTAGTCAGAGGTCAGGGGAGGATCCTACTTTCCTGGCTGGACTTCATGAATGCCCTCTGGATGCCAGGGATGAGGCTCCAACCCACAGACCCCAGGGAAATGATACAGCATCTCTTTGCCACCATCGAGTCTGGACACAGCTCACTTCTCAAAGGATAATAATAATCACAGCTCTAACAGCATATGAAATGGGAATCTTTCTAATTGAAATTTCAGCTGGAGAACCAGAGCTGGGTAAAGGAGTAGTAGCCATGTGATCCACAAGCTATGCCTTTTCTATGGGATTGAGGGGAGGGAGAACTTCAAAAGGATTCTGCAGCCTGTGGTCAAGTTACTCTCCCTCCAGGCCGTGAGAGCCAGGAAAGAGTTACGGGAAAGAGGGCTTTCTTTTACTTTTGGAGAGAAGCACTGGAGAGAGCCAGGCCTTCACTTCTCCCCATTTCCCCACCCCTGCACATGGACTGCCCTCTAGCCCTCCCACCCTCCCC